TAATTCTTATACCTGTATATACATATATGTACATATGTACAGTTTTTCTCATAGAAATTTCATATGACCCCAACAGTGGCCATAACAACTATTTAATCTTTCTCTCTTATATAAATATAAAATTTAATATATCAATACATAAGAAGAGTATCATTTTCAAGATGATGATCATTATTATCGATAATATTGAATGAAAAGTTGTCATTCCCCCATTTAAAACTTCTTTTACACTTCTAATTTGTATCATAATTTATGTTGCATTGCATACGATATCTGCAATATTTCCAATAAACGTAATCTCTCTTTCTCTCTTCTTTCTTTCAAATATATCATACATAATTATATATAATAAAAATATTATAAACTATGTGTATAATAGCCTGCAATAATATTTTCGAATATTTTCCGCTTCTATCACCACCTCTGAACTTTACCAAATACATACCAACCAATAAAGTTATCAAAAACAAGACGAAAAAACTCTTTAAATGTTAACCATTTAATACTAACAGTTTACTGTTATTGTTTTAATTTTTCTTTTTTCTCATTATTATTGTTACTTCCTCTCTTATTCTTACTCTTATAGATTTAGAGCTATTTGTTTGATGTCGTTTTAAGCGAAAAACAAAAAAAAAACAAACGAACCGAAAACTTCTTTTGTTACCAAACTGACACTGAGAGTTAAGTACTACATACAATAACACAAAATAGAGAACAAAAATTCATGAACTACATTTACATACCAACCGAACTCATTCATATTTTGATTTCTTTTTTGTAGTTTTTCTATACATACTACACAAACATATGGTAAACTGCTTCTTATAATAATAGACAACATACCTACATACGAAATTCTCCTGCATCGAAGATTAGTACGAAGAGTATATAATATATTACATTTTTATATAAAACATAAACACATCCATGGATATAAGGACAAGCAACAATAAAAGAAAATTAAAATGGCCAACAGAAAAAAAAACTAAAAAGAGAAACGAAGAGTAAAAAAAAAAACCAAAAAAAAGTGAGGAAGAGTTGAAAAGAGTTAAAGAGTTAATCCTTTTGTTTTCTTTTTTTCATTTTTTGTTTAACTCAACCCAACAAGACCTCTTAATAAAAACTTGGCAGTTTGGCACTTTCGGTTTGTATTCTATTTCTGTATTGTTTCCTATTTTTTTTCTCTTTTCTTATTCTGTTTTTGTTTATATTCCCGTTATGGTCAAAACTTTCATGCAAAATAATTATGTACTTCATTATGATTATACTCTTGTGTGTGTCTCTCTATACTTGTTAGTCTGTTGTGTGTTATGTTGTCAACAGTGTTGTAACACAGTGCATATAAAAGAATTCGTATCAAAAGTTTTTATAACATAATATGAGTATGACAAGTAATAATTTTACAACTTAATTCTAAAATTAAAAACTTATATCAACCGAAGCCTGAAATCAAACCGTTTAGAATTTTCTCATTTGCTATAATTTATAGCTATAATTTCTCATTTCCATTCTCATTTAAGATTTTTTTTAATTGCTTTAGTTTATTCTTATTTCATTATTTAATTGAATTTTTATAGAGAAATCAATTTTTTAATATTCTGTTATCCAGTATTTTGTGTTAGATGAGTTGCAAAAATGCATTCTCTGCAATTCATATTTCTCAAATTATTATCAAATTTTATAAAGTTGTGAATCAAACTTGTTCATCCTAAAATGTGACAGAATTTTAAAAAATTTTTGATACTAAATAAAATGATAATTTTGCAACACTAGTTGTTTGCTGGTTGTGTAATTATATTGGTTTGTATTTGGTTTTTTTGCTTTCTCACTCTTTTTCTTTTAAAACAAAAAGGAAAATGAATTTTTGCCGTCTCTTTTTTCTTTTCTATGTTTAATTTTTTTTATTTTCTTTCATACTCTTCTGTTGTCGTTCGTATCGTAGCATAGCACTAAACTCCTTCTTTCTCACTTATTTTCGCTTCTTTATATAGGATTTACGTTTCTTCTCATACTCATTCATTTCTCATGTACACATTATATTTGTTTCGTACTCTTTTAATTTTTTCCCAATGTTTTTACGATTGTTTTCTGCAGTTTTTTTTTTGTAAGTTTTCTATATTTTTTGCCTTCCTTCTTACATACTTCTATTTAATTCATTTTTTTTATTTCTTTCTTTCACATCGTATTTCTTTTTATTTATTTATTTATTTATTTTTTTTTCGAACAGATAGAGACAAATACAAGTTTAGTCGATGTCTGATACTCTTGTCGTTAACATAGTGCTTTAGCGTTTTTATAAATTTTTGTCGATAGAAATTTATTGAGAAAAAGTGAAGTAACAACAACAAAATAATAAAATTTATTTATAGGAGTATAGAAAAAGAAAATAAAAAACTAGATAAACATAATAAAAAGAAGAACAAAAAAAAGTAACAATAAAATTTTATTCTCACTTTTTAATTTTTCTTGTTTTGTTTTTGTTTTTACTCTTTATTTTTCCACTTTTTTTTATTGTTTTGCTATTTATTTTTTCTGTCAAGTTTTTCATCAAGTGAAAAGTACAAAGTGATTTTCAAACAAAACAAATAAAAATTTTTTTAATTCAAATTTTTTATGCTGTTATATTCTTGTAATTCAAAAAAAAAAAAAGAGAAAAAAGAGAGTAAAGAAATGTAAAACGACAGCACTCAACTTACAAACATGTGGAAAATATTTTGAAATAAAAAAAAATATAGAGAACGGAGAAAATTTTTTTTTAATTTTATAAATAGCAATCAGATGGCGCGCGTCATAATTTTGAATTAGTGTCATGCATTTTTAAACAAATTGTTTTATACTTTTTATGCATAAACCTTTGAAATAATAAATATTTCAAGTAGATAATATATTACCGTTATCAACTCTTTTAAAAGTGCCAAGTGCTCAGCAAAACAAAAAATTCAAAAAGGAATAAATTGCGACGGTAACTAATTACCATTTTAATAATTGTAATCGTATTAAAAAAAAATTACATTTGTGACTTTTCTTTGAACCGATTAGGTACCTAAAATACGTAGACATTTTGCATATAGGTATAAACATACATTATATAAGTGCGCGCAACAAAGAATAGAAATAAATCAAAAATAAATTTTACTAACGGTATCTTTTTGTCGCGTCTCGCTTTAAAAATCGTTTTTTTTTTATTTTTTGATTTTTTTTTTGTTTTTACTTCTAACACCGAACATTTATATTTTGTACATCTACGCCATATGTATACTATTATTACTACTGTTATATAATATGTGATTATGTTTTGTTATATTTGACGTATGTATGTTTAACAAAATTAAGTGTCAGATTTTGTCTAATTTTTCCGTTATATTTATAATATATATGTATCTATTTATTTGAGGTTATAAAATATTAATTATTTTAATTATAAAGGTGAAATTAAAATTTAATTTTAATATTTTTATATTAATTATAATAATACTTTTATTTTTTTTTTGATTGACAGGTAGTTTAACTGATTGCGGATTTCTATTTGAGTGAAACAGTGAAAAAAAATAAAAAAAAAAATATAATTTAATTCAAAAAATAAATTATTAATAAAAATATTATATTGCACTTTAAACATAACCTACAATTATTGATTGCTTTTTTACAAATTTAATTATATTTATGAAATTTACAATATAATTATCACCTGTCACCTTTTTATTGATCATTTTAATTATTACTATTGAAGTAATTACATTAATTAAAGAAAAAACAAAAAAAAACTGGTTTTTACTAATATAATAGGAATGCATATTAGCATGTTCAGATTTGTGTGCAAAAATATTATATTTAAATTTATATAATTCAAGCAATAAATATGTAAATATTTAATTTTCACTATAATTCTTGAGTAATAAACAATTAAAAACATTTAAATATATGCAATTAAATATAAATTTTCTTTAAAAATTAATTCTCTTATACTGTACGGAAATATGTAAATTAAACTACATAACAAAAAAAAAAATTCAAGCAAAAAAATAATTTCAATGTTAAAAATTCTGGGGCATTTATAAATGTTGATTTTAAAATATTTTACTTATATTTTTTTTTTTTATTTTTTTGACTTTCTAAATTGTTACGACATTTTAATATGACTTGTTTTACTCTGTTATTTTTCTACTTTCATGTCAACTTATCAAAATCTGGACATGCGGTTGACATATAGAAAATTTTAAATGTGACAGAAGATGTATATAAAATAAAATCAGAAAAAGAAAAATAAAATAAAAAACAAAACAAAAACAAATCTACCAAAATGAAAATTAATTTTTATGAAAAGTACATGACAAGTGAAAAATAATTTAAAAAAAGAAAAAGTAAAAGAAAACAGACAAAATACTTAATTTGCAAAAATAATAACAAAAACAGACAAACAAAAAAATAAGATACAAATCGTTATTTCAGTTTTGTTTTTCTTTTTTGGTTTGTCAAAAAAAATCATCGAACAACACAAATTGTACTTGTAACCATCAAGCGGACGAATTTTTAAACACAAGATATAACAAAAGTGGTATAACGCGTGGCGCGCGCTATATTCTTATAAAATAAATTCCAATTATATTTTTATAACAATTAATTTTTATTGGCATTAAAGTTTGAAATAAAAAAAAAAATTAAATTTTTATTAAAGAAATTAAATAAATTTTTTTTTTGTTTTTTACCTCTTGTCATCAGTTTGAATTTATGATCCACTATCAGTAATGAAATTTTTTGATTTTAAAGTGTTTAATAAATAATTTGTGAAATTTAAAAAAAAACCAATTAATTAAAATTAATTATTAATTAAGTTTTTAATAAAAAATAAAAGAGAAAAATTGGCAAAATAAAAAAAAATATTTTGTTACTTAGTTTATTGTATATTTTTTTAAGTATATAATAAAAGTATATATATAAAAAAACATATATATATACAAATATTTCAAAAAGATAAATCTTTATTTAATTTTCGGGTGCCTTTTAAATATTAAAAAAAAAAGAAAAAAAAAGAAGTTATATAACATATTAAAGTAAGTAAAAATTATATAAAAGAAAAAAATTGTCATTAAGTGAAAAATAGAAGCGAATTATATGAAATTTATAATTATAAATTATGACCAAAAAAATATTTTAGGATTTTATAAAACAAAAAAAAATCAATTTAATTACTTAACTTAAAAATCAAAAAATTTTAATAATTTAATAAAATAAAAAATATTTTCTCTTAATAAATTTAACATTATTTTATGAAATTTCATTGAAACTACTTACACGTAATAAATAAACTATATAAATTGACACTTATATACCTATATACATTTTAAATTTTAATATTTAAATTAAAACCATTGAAACAGATGAGACAACATAATAGCCACCGAATTGGATTAAATTTCATAATGATCAAATCTTCAATTCAATTATTACGAGTATCAACATAAAAATATCTGGATATTTGGTTACATAAATCAAATAATTCTCTCTATATATTATAAATATTATTTTATATATTTAAATATTTTTAAATAAAATCAGCCAAAGTGGATTTATCAAATCATAAAAATTATAATATTCAATATAATAATTGTAATAATAATAGCAACGATATTGGCAACGCCAATAACTTTAATCATAATTTCACCGACGATAAAATGCTGACGTCGGGTAATCATCAATACATAAGACCGGAATATTTAACACCTTTGCCAACAACGGTAAGTTATTATTATTCTTTTCAAATTATTATATAGTTAATTTAAAATAAAATTGATTAAATATTAATTATAATAAAATAAAAAAAAAAAAATTATAAAATCTTAAAAATATTTATTGTTCTATTAATTACATTCGAATTTTTATTTAAATAATTTACAAAAGATGGAATTCATTTTAGGTCCGGCTTCAAAATGATGTTTTAAGTAGTTGAAATAAATGAAATATTCTTTAGTAATGTGCCTAAACATAGTTCAAATTGCTGTTAGTTTAAATCAATTCCTTAAGTTTTAGATATCGAATTTCAAATAGAATTTGATCTGTAAATTGTTTGCAATTTTCGAGTAAATTATTTTTATTTTATTTTTATTTTTATTTTATTTATTTACACCAAACAAGGTGCTAACATAATTTATATTAATTTACAAAAAAGAAACTTATTACATACAAAATACAAAAAAAAAATTGCTTATGCTTAATACACGAAACAAGAAAAAAAAAATATTACTAATATTTAACCTACAAACAATAAATACATAACTGCTGATGCAGCAAAATTAGAAATTTTAAGTATAACAAACAAAAGTGAATCAAAAGAAAAAACACAAATTATAACAAAGTACAATATAGTGTAATATGATATTATAAAAATTTACTAAAAAAAGTCAAAAATGTTTCTACTTATGACAATAAAAAAAACTATAATTAGGTCAATGAATTACTTAAAAATTGTGGTAGGTTATGGTTAGTATAAAGTGTCAAGAATTTTTTTTTTGAAAGTGTTCTTGGAATATGTAGGTGAAAAAAGATAGCTAAAACGATTGAATACAGTACAACACCTATTAATGGGCTCATTTTTACCATATTCAGTTCTATGTGTCTGTTCTTTTAGAAATTTAGTGTGCCTAGTAGGCCTGACGTCATTATTGATAATCATTTTTCTTTTAATGAATTCGACATTTATAACGCCAGTTATAACGTCAAACGTGAAACACGAAGAAAGCATAGAACGGCGAGATTCAAGGCTAATCATATTTAGGGACTGCAGCCTAACTTTATAGGAAGGGATACTATGAAAGTCATGTGGATCGTAAAGATTTCTTAAAGCAAAAAGGAGAAATTGTTTTTGGACGGATTCAATTCTATTACTATGTGTTACAAAAGCGGGATCCCAAATAATACTGCCGTATTCTAAAATAGAGCGAACCAGAGAACAATAAAGTGATTTTGTAACACAGATATTGTCAAATTCTCTGGCTCTACGCTTTATGAATCCCAGCATCTTGTTTGCTTTGGAAATCATATAATCATAATGTGCATTAAAATTTAATTTGCTATCTAGAATGATACCTAAGTCAGTTATGTGGTCGACGCGTTCTAAGGTGGAGTTTTGAAGAGAATAATTTTGGCAAACGATTGAACGCTTTCGTGAAAAGCTGATAATATAACATTTTTTAACATTAAGGTCTAATTTATTAGCACTGCACCAGTTATCAAGAAGTACTAATTTCGTTTGTAGGTAGTTAGAATCAGATATATCATTTATAACGTGGTACATTTTTAAATCATCAGCGTAGGTTAGATGAGAAATACCCGATAGACAATGAGAGAGGTCAGAAATAAAGACATTGAAAAGAATAGGACCTAGATGACTTCCTTGAGGAACACCGGAATGAACGCGAATAGGTTTAGATTTAATCCCCTGGAATTTAACGAATTGGGTTCTCCCCGAGAAGTACGATTTGAGCCAACCTAGTAGAGGGAACTTAAAACCAAAATTAACTAGTTTACGCTCCAAGGTATTGTGATCGATGCGGTCAAAAGCTTTACTGAAATCCGTATATATTGTATCAACTTGAAAACCTTTTTCCATTAATGAAAGAACGTCAGATGTGAAAACTGTAAGATTTGAGGTTGTCGAGCGACCAGTTCTAAAACCATGTTGCTCTTTATTTAATAATGGATTGATGACCGGTGCAAGTATATTAGTAACTAATTTTTCAAATAATTTTGGGATAGCAGACTGAATAGCAATACCTCTGTAGTTTTCTATCGCTGTTTTGTCACCTTTTTTGTGAATTGGTATCAGATACGAATTTTTCCAAGCTGATGGAAAAACTCCGGTGGATATAGATCTGTTAAATATTGAAGTAAGAGGGTTTGACAAGGTGTAGCGACAATTGTAAAGAAATATTGGTGGCAGAAGGTCAGGACCAGATCCCTTCTTAACGTCTAGACTACTGATGCCCTGAAAAACATTTTCTACCGATAAATGAAAGTATTCGAAAAGCGGGTTGGTATTATTAACAAGGGGTGAAGGATTGAAATTAGCATTATTAGAGGGTAACTCAGGGCGATAAATTTGTTGGAAGTTGTCAGCAAAAAAGTTACAAATTTCCGTGGGAGATGAAGACATTCTGCCATTCATACACATCGAAATCGGGTAACCTGATGATTTACGTTTAGTATTAACGAAGTCGAAAAACTTTTTAGGGTTGCTCATTATTGCGTTACCGATATTTTGGACATAATTATCATATGCCTCGTTTGCCTTAATCTTAAATTCATTCGCCAACTCATTATAATCATTTATAAGTGAGTTGTTGTCATTACCAGAGTGCTTAATTTTATGGTACAATTTATTTCTCCGGTTGCGTAAATGTCTTAAATTACGGTCTAACCAAGGTTCTTTTAATTTGTCTTTTCTACGGATTTTCGGAATATGGTTGTCAATTATTTCAAAGATAATGGAATAAAAATCATAGATAATATTATCTAAATTATGCTGCTCCAACAACGTTTCCCAATCAATTATACTAAGGGCATAATTGATACCGTGGTAATCAGCGTTCATAAAATCATATACAATTTCGTTATTGTAAGTATTTGAGAATTTATGGTTGGAATAGGGTAGTTCTAAAACCAACGCGTTGTGATGGATTGAGTTTCGGAAAAGATTTTCTTCGTCAGTGGCAGAACGAACATTAATGGTGTCATAAGCATTAGAAAATGCTAAATCCAACCAATTACCTCTACTGTTGGGGTAACGAAAAACCTGCTGTAAGTCGTTCCCATAAAAAGTACTAATGAGGTCAAAATCTATGTCATCCATGAAATTGATAGGAAGAAGTTGGTTATCAAACTCATCGATGACAAAAGATAATGATGGTCGATTGAAATCACCCAAAATTACAATATTATCATCCTCATTCATAATTGTGAATATATCGTTACATATTGCAAAGAAATTATTGTATGAGGACTCGTCAGAATTTGGAGGAAAGTACACCACACCTATGTAGGTATAATTTTTACCTGAGTGAACTTTAATAAATTGATGGTCAAAAGTTGAAAAAACCCTAGATGATACCAATTCACTTGGTACATGATTATTGGTGGCGATTAAAACTCCGCCCCCCCTAGATTGACCCGTGGAATTATAATCACGGTCATTTCTATATACGGACCAAGTGCTATCAAGTATTTCTTCATTTTTGAATGAATCGTTTAACCAGGTTTCAGTGAAGACTAGAATATTAAAATTGCATGATTTGGCGTCAATAAAAAGGTTTTTTAGTTTACCTCTCAAACCACTGCAATTATGGTAAAACATATTAAGGAGCTTAACACTCTTATTGGTATTGTCAATTAAACGTATGAGATTATTTTGACGTGCATGGACGAAAAAACTTATGCTCGTTTTCCCTTATTTTTTGCAGATATTCACGTCTTTTACTCACAAGTTGAAGCCGATAAGCTTCCAAGTCAGCTTTAGCATCTTTAGTCGAAATCCCCTCAGAATCATAGTATTTAAGAAACAGTTCTAGTAGATCCCTATAATTGTTAGGCAAGCCTTCTTGTCTAATTGAAACCTTTAAATAAGTTTTTGTCTTGCCCTCCATGCAGATATTGTTATCTTGGTCATGCATATATGCTAAGAATAAGCGTACGTTATTCAGAACACTAGGTTCACGGAAACGAGACAACGCGTAGACGCTGTCTCCTTGTATCGAATTTTGCGTCATACGAACTATTGGAGGAAGAAGCGGATTTACAAAGTTGGGAGAGTTCTTATTAGTAGCAAGGTCATTGTTTTTATCATTAATATTAGTATTATTATTATTATCATCATCTTTAATATAATTATTATTACTATTATTATTATTATTACTATTATTAATATTATTATTATTGTTATTATTATTATTATTATTACCACCATTATTATTATTACTGTTATTATTATTATTATTATTATTATTATTATTATTATCATCATTATTCTTAACATTGTTAAAGTTGCTACTTACAACATTATTACTATTATTATCATTATTCTTGTTAATATTATTATTATTACTATTATTAGCACTATTATCGGTAGTACTGTTATTGATAGTATTATTATTATCAATATTATTATAATTATTATTATAATTATTATTATTATTATTGTTATTATTATTATTATTAGTATTATTATTATTATTATTATTATTATTATTAATATTGCTATTATTATTAGTTTTAACATTCCCGTTGCAATTAATATTATTACCTATGTCGTCATACCGATTAATTGTATGAGAATAAACAAAGTTATTGTATTTTTGAACCTTTTGGCTAGATGAACCCAACATATTGTTAACTGCACAATCTGTTTCAGTCTGAGTTGAACTAGTTTTAGAAGTGTTAGTAATACTATGTTTTTTATTATTGAAAAAGTTTTTTGTTTTGTTAGTAGTTGAGGAAGATATTTTGTGAGTGTCATTACTATGTCTAGGCAAAGTATCCTTAATTATATTTGTAGAAACTAATTTAGAACTAGAAGCTGTGTCATACCTGTTTTTCCAACGAGTAAGAGTTAAGCTCTTAAAATTGAAAACCTCCTTCTTATTACTGAAGAACCAATCGTACTTTTGTGGGAAAACTACTTTGAAGCATCTGTAATTGATCTTTCTCTTATTACGCAACCTCGCAGGATGAATTATATCGCAACTGT